TTGAGTAGGAGTAAATTCATGTCATTACCCCGGTCTTTCAGTAGAATGGAAGATATAGTGTCTAGACAGGGGAGTTACTAAGCCTAAGATTTGCGATAGCTTTATCGATCTCTTGTGTGGTGAAAAGTATGTCACCTAGACATTTGTCTGATGTATGTGGTAAATCCACGACCTGATCGTTCTCCAAGGTATGTAGTCTGGCAAAGAACCTGCTAAACAGTTCACATATCACCTTGGTATTCCCTTAAGCAATTTTGTTTAAGTATATTATTTTTGGATAGGCTGTTTCGGAGTTTTTTAACCTACTTTTGAAAAGTTTGGCTATTTCTCCTGGGTTATGCGGTGGCTGAATGGCCCACATTTCTTTGTTTCTGAGGCTTATATACTTTAACTCTTGAATTCTAGTGAAAAGGGACGTAATAGCAATTATTGATGATAAGTCATGTGCGTCAGTGGCACAGTGGTTAGGACTCTCGCCGACCATGCACATGGTCCGGGGTTCGATCCCCTGCCGACGCACACCCGATATCTATGGTCGGTCTGAATTTGGGCTACCGATATCCATGCTGAAAATTCCATACTTGTACTGAAAATACGGTGTGGAATCAAGCTGTAAATCAAAAATAAAAAATATCTGTAGCATTTTATTGAGTGCTTTCGTAGACTTCTCCTCAACGATGTCGGAATATAATCGCTTTGGGGGATGGTGAAATCTTTCAAATGACTTCATGAGTTGAGTTAATATTGTAATGAAAGTTGCTAATAATTGCCTCTAAGGACTCGTTCGAAAAGTACGAGTCCCAATTAGAGCATCTAATTAGATGCTGATGCAAGTTCCAGTCGTCATGTGTTCACAATCTTATAGGTGTCTGGTCAGCTTCACCTCTGCGTTTTGTTTCAGAACAGATGTTAAAAGAACACACTACTATTTTATGGTGACTACCTGGAAATTCATGTCCTACATGTACTGTAGATGGTGTTATGTTTTTCGTGAAAATAAGGTCAAGGATACTTATGGATCTAGTGGGTGAATTTATGTGTTTTGTCCACCCTCCTGTGACGATGGAATTCAGGTGATCATCATATCTTTGGGGTCCTCAGAGTGAAGACCATGATACTTCTGGCATGTTGAAATCACCTCCGATAATTTTATAACTGTAAGAAAGATTGGTTGTAACATTAAAAATATTGCTGAACATATTATCATATTCCATGCTGGATGAAGGGGATCGGTGCACACAACCCACAAGCATAGGTTTACTTCTGACAAATTTTAACTCAAACCAGATCAAGTCATTGAGTTGTGACAGAATTGGGTTACTGAACTGGGTTGCACACATGGGCTGTTCACAGTTAACTAGTGTTTCACCCCAGGGCCTGTCTCTCTGTCCCCGCAGAAAGGTGGTAGTTGTCCATTATTAGGCTGTCATTGGAGATTTTACTTGTGCACCAAGCTTCAGTGATCAAAAGCAATGGCGGTCTGGGTACAAAAGCTAATGTACTCAGTGCTGAGTGTTTGTTTAGAACTGATCTAGTATTTGCGAGGATAACATTACACTGGCTATATGGTTTCGGTTTGCTGACAACATCCTGATAAAATACCCCGTGACTGCCCTCTGTATACATGTTCTTAGACTCACTAACCACTATCTGTGAATCATAGGAAGACTTTAGGCAGGTTTGTGAGGTGGCAGTCAGGGGTTGTTTGTCGTTTGGATAGGGTATGCAATGAGAGACACCCGTGTGATAATTATATATTGGTATTTTAGAGATATTAGTATCCACGTTTGGTACCGACACTGTGTCAGCTATCTCCTGGGAAATATGCCTTGTCCTAGCTGTAGACTGTTCGCTATGCCAGCATGGAATTGATCCGATATCATGCGTGCTACATGCATGATGCCAGGTGTTTCTGTTAGCTAATGCTGGTGAAAATCTTGCCGGTAACGGCTAGTAAGGACAGTGTTATTGCGAAAGGTATACTCGATATGAGTCTTCGGTAATTTGTTGCTAGAATAGGAATGAAGTACTGGTATCTGTTTAGGGTAGTTATCAGACCATAAAGAGTTGTGTGCAGACATCGGCACATGCTCCCACTAAATACATAAGATGCATGAATGGGTTCTGTAGGTTTACTTGGCTTGCTGGATGTAGTCTGTAGCCTATGTTTAGGGACTTTCTATAACTTTCAGTCGACAGGACACTCAAAGGGGGCTAGCTAACGACGAGTTTGAGTAGTGGATAAGCAGAATAATACTGACTACCTCGCTGTATTGTTTGTCTAGAATTTAATTGGCCTTCCACCTGAAACCAATTAGGCCTACCTCCAGGAGACTTGTCTACCATAACTGGCTGTTTCTTGGAAAGATGGCTTAGAGGAGCTTGCATATCTACAACAACGATAGGCTTTCGTGTTCTGGGTTCAGAATTTAATTTATTTACTTCACTATCTCCTTTCTTGTGTTTAACTAGTTGATGGCGACTAACAAGCAGCCAGCACATACTATAAATGGCTCCTGTTGCTTAGACTCTTCTGGCACTTTAGTTTTCTTAATGGAAATGGGAAGTTTGTCATAACGCCTAGGGGACTTGCTAACATGGATAGCTACATTGGACTGGTACTTCACAGTGGATGGATTGTCGGACTAAAGAGTGACTGATTTATAAGGAGATGAGTGGAACATGATTGGGACAGGTTCTGATGTTTTCTGTCTCTTGATGTATGTCAGTGTACAAACGATGTATTTCAGCATTATGATTGGTGCCTTAAAAAATTCAGGAAACATACCTTCAAGTATGAGGTCATCCACCGTCCAAATACCAAGAGTGCAATGGCTGAACACAAGGTGGCTTACAGTTTATGAGGATTTGCGACCAAACAAAAATGCACAGCAGTCCAATGAACCATAAACAGTCTGATTCACACTAGAGGCAAAACGGTATATAAAGTACATCTTTAGTGTTCGAAGATGCAATATCAGAAGTAACGAACGCTGTAATCAAAAAAGAGGAGCATTTACTTCATGTTTCGCAGCCAGTTGGTGGTGTTGTGCCTTAAACTTTTCTCGTCACATAAAATATGTGTGCTAAATGAGTACTGTGGAGCTTTTGCACTTAGCTGTCCAGGCGTATACTCTTCTAATGTTGTTTCTAGTCCTACCCGGTGGGATAGATGTAAAGAGAGTTGTGTATAAGAGGATGATCAACTGACCAACCTCTTTCATGAGCCCAAGTGTTTACCTATAGCATTGTATGCAAGTCACAGTGTGACAAAGTCCTCCTTAGTGGTCCAGGAAAGGTTGAGGGGGAACGATCAAGAAGAATCAGTAGAATACAAGAATTAACAAACTGTTGCGGTAGAGACTGACTGAGCGATACCAGATTGTATTAGCTTCTTTACGTGGAAGGAGTTGAACGAAATTTCGTCGTAGAAACTAACATGGTGTATGAAGACTGGAAGATATAAAAAATACCCTGTCTAGGATATTTAACACTCAACTTAGTTTCAACTTCACTGTCATCTATGATACTTAAACTATGTGAACAGACCAATTAATGTAAATTGTGCTTGCGTGTCTGAAAGTGAAAACAACAACCTGACATGTGGAGAGATTTAGCACAAGACCATTTGACAAGGTTCACCGACTAGTTTCTAGTAAAACGTAATTCATTTGGGAGGAATCGGGAAGACAAGTTACTGGCATGGAAACAGTCAGACCACCTGAATTCCGTTAAATAGTTTCCACATATTTCATGAGGTTTTGTACGATACAAAATTTTGGCTGTAGATAATATTTTATCTCTGTAATTGAAATGTTCAGTCTCTTTACCCCAAGACTGTCTTTCACTTCGTGAGACCTCTCTTTCTCTAGGTGAAGCTTTTGGTGTTGAGGCGACTGGAACAGCTCAGATCTTAAGAAGTGTCAATGTAGTTGGAGAATGAACGATCAATTCATAGTTGTATACTCAAAACCAACTCCATATTTTGGAGGGAGTCACCGATACTGCAGTCATCGCTCCATCGTACACTATTGGTTAGAAGGTTGAGAAATACTATCAGAAGTATTATTTTGATTAATTGTTATGACATTTAATCTTAGACTCTGTGTATAACAACCTTATGGTTGGTTCCATATTGGTGCAAGAATAAAGGATTCTCAAGTCACCAATCTGTGTTCTGTTTTTTCACGTTGGTTATTTCACGTTGTTGCTGAAGGTCTTCTAAGGACAGCGTTAAGTCCAGTGTAGTTAGACCTGGACATTGACAGGAAGAGTGTTCTTTTTGGACAACAAACATCAAGGCAGAGCTTGGGATAATATGCTACGTTTGTGACTTTGTCATGTATAACTTGTTCAGTAAATAAGTCCCGGTTGTATTGTTTAGCGTGCTCTTTAGATTCTGCATATTGTCCTGAGAGTAAGACATATGTTGAGGTTTCTAAACAAGG